AGGGCGCAAAGGTGCCTGCTAGGGCGGGAAGGGGCCCGCTAGGGCGTGAGGGGCCCGCTAGGGCGCGAGGGGCCCGCTAGGGCTCGAGGGGCGCGCTAGGGCGCGAGGGGCCCGCTAGGGTGCGAGGGGCCCGCTAGGGCGCGAAGGGGCCCGCTAGGGCGCGAGGGGCCCGCTAGGGCGTGAGGGGCCCGCTAGGGCGCGAGGGGCCCACTAAGGCACGGAGCTAGCGAAGGGCGGTAGGCTAGGGCACGGGGCGGAAGCGGGTGGGTGGACCTACCTACTCATGATACCATGATAACTAGAACGAATAGATAGAAACAAGGGAGAACAAGAGAGTTATAGTGTTGGAGTTGTACCCTCTAACAACGTACATCTATCTAGCCTATAACTTCTACATATCAAAACATATATAAGTTGACAAATAGTAAGCAAGAGTGCATACAATTAGGGTGCTACCTTATGTCACGACCATCTCTTTATTGAAATAATTTGAAAGGTGGTGCAGGAGACTAAGTACAGAATCTGCAGACACAAGTACTTGAAGTAGAAAGTAATACTGGAAATACCTCCAATAACAAGCAGTCTTAACTAGTAACAGTCTTGTGATACTTCAAGACTTTGGAATAGGATCTTTGCTGGAATGGTAGACTAGTAAGATAGCGGAAGTCTTAGAACTTGTAAGTGTTGACCAGAATTTACTCAAGAACAAGTTAATAATTGAAGTTTTACAAGCTACTTTTATACCTGCTAGAAGTACCTATTCGGTAGTGTACCTGTTCAAAACTACTTGCGCTTTAACCGCTACTGAAAAGAGCGCGACAGTTCGCATGACTGAAACAGCCTGCTGACGTAATCATCCAGACGAGTGATATTTGCTGACGTCATTCTACGGATGCTAACTACAGTGTAACTCGACAATATCTATCGGAACTACTTACAGAAATGCTTAAGTACAATTTTATCACAACACTCCCCTTCATTTGTGGAAGTCCGATAGTGTCACTTCCTGATAATTCTGCAGAGTTCGTTGAGCTGGAACTTCTGACATGTCAGCTTCTTGGTGAGGAAATCAACAGCCATTTCATTGGTCGAACAGTAGACTAATTGCATTCTCCCCTTCTCAACTTCATTGTTGACGAAGCAGTATCGAAGCGAAATGTGTTTCGTCCTGTTGGCGAAACCAGGTTGATGCGCAATTCTGATTGCACTTTGGTTGTCGCACTGCAGGGTGAACTGTGTACTTGTCGTCAATTTTGCTTCCTCCAGTAGCTCTTGCAGATAGAGACCTTCGCAAATAGCTGTGCAGGCAGCTATAAACTCGGCTTCAGCAGATAATAGAGCTACGAGCTCTTGCTTTGTAGAATTCCGCGAGATAGTCCCAAGAGGTTCGAGTTCATAGACGAAGCCGGTGCGAGACGACACGTTACAGCTGCGAATAGAATACAACCCAGTTGCTACTTATAAAGTTGTAATTCAGTGTTATCGAGTGGAGTAGTATCGGGTTAGTAGTCTGTCGGTAGAGATCGGTAAGGAGTGGTGACACTTGAAGGTGTGAGGTTAAAGCATGCGGCTAGCGTAGCTGCGTACTTAGAAGCTGTAAAATGAATAGCAGTTGCTGTTCAGTGGATGTTAAGGCTGAGAAATTGTGTAACTGTAGGAGTGATAGTGATCTATAGATTCTGTTGAAGTTTCTGTTCGAAGACAGTAGCGAGAGAATCGGTGGTGCTGATGTAAAGTAGGTCGTCGACATAAGCGACGAGTAGAATGTAGTCAATACCGTCGGTAAGTAGATACATTCCTTGGTCGTGTGGAAGCTGACGAAACCCGGCAGTTAATAGCTGACAGTAAAGATACTGCTGCCATAATCGTGGAGCCTACTTGATGCCGTAGAGATACTTTCTGAGACGGCATATACTGGGAGGATTAGTTTTGGAAGAATGCGGGTACTCAACCAGAATTAAGGCGTCGACAGGTGCATATAAAAATGCATTGGCGACGTCGATTTGTCGAAGTATGAAGTTCCGGTAGGCCGCGATACAAAGGAGGATGCGGACACTAGTGTGTCTGCCGACGGGAGCGAAAGTTAAATTCGTACTCGAGGCCAAAAGTTTGCTCGAAGCCGCGGATGACCCATCGCGCCTTGAATTTTTCAAAGGAGCCATCGGCGTTTGTCTTCACGCAGAAACTCATTTCCCAATAAGAACCTTACTCTCCTTTGTTTCTTTCAGCAGGATTAGATCCCAGGTGCCTCTCTTTTCCAAAGCTGCTAACTCTCGGTTCATGGCTTCGTGCCATTTTTCCCTGTGTTGACTTGTCAAGGCTTGGCGAACTGTTTTCGGCTCCAGAATCTTACTCTTGTTTGACTGTACTGCGACTGCAAGTCCCAATACTTGTAAACCAGTTTCTGTAAAATGCGGACGATTTGAGTTGACACCGGAGAAGTTGTGTTATGACCCTTGTTCCCCCCCAACTTCTTCAGGTGTTACACGGATTGCTGCTTCGGAGACAACTGGCATTGGCTGCTGCTGACGATCACGTTCATAATCAAGAACGACATCGCGAACATCTTCAGAGTCTGCTTCGCTGAGTGGGATAAACTCGGTAGTTCCAGCTAATGTGGTTGGCACGGGGATGTCTGTGGCGGCTTCGAAAGACTCAGCGATGGATTCGTCCTATACATCTGCTTCGGCCTTGTCGGAAGCGAAAGCACACAAGCCTTCGAACAGCCTAGCATGATTGGCAGATGCAGCCTGGTGAGCACGAAAAAGAGGTAAGGTGAGTCGTTCGTAGAAAAGACAATCACGTCCTGGTACGATTTGACTCGTGCAAAGATCCATAATTTTCCACGCGTAAAATTGCTTCTCGATGCCAAGATGTATTCCCCACTTAGCCCGTTTTGAAATTTTCCCGAGTGCTGCAGTCGGAGGTCGGTATTGAACGATACACCCGAAAACTCTTAAAAGTTTGGTGTTGCCGACTGTTTTTGTCCACTGCAGGTGTGGCGAAGAAAATTGTGGAAGAGAAGTTGTCGACAGCAAGTTGTGCAGAAGAACTGCATGGTCCAAAGCGTAAGTCCAAATTGTGGTGGCAATGCTGTCTGAGTCAGCAAGACACGCATTTTTTCTTGTAACGTCTTGTTCATTCGCTCCGCTAAAGAGGCGTTATAACTGCTGCGGCTGTACAATATCCTGTTGGAACTGCAGTTGCACGGAAGTCTATATCAACCGTTTTAAAATCAGTTTCCTCAGGATGTTGCCAAGGCCCAAGAGATAACACTCAATCAGAATCTCCAGAAGTGCCTTGCGACTCGAATTGAAGAACGGAGACCTCATACAGAGTGGCGGCTTTTCCGATGTAAGTATTTGTATCATTGTGATAAATTTCCTGGTCCATGGTCTCACAATTGCCTTGTGTCCTGATCTTATGTCGCAGGAGTTGAGCCATTGAAAGAAGATCAGGACACAAGGCAATTGTCCAGCGATGACAAGGACATTTGTAACGTGTAAAGAAAAGCCGGTGTCAACAGAATCCAGCATGACGCTGTCGATTGATCTTGCCAATGTTTGTTTGTCCATTTGCAAATGTGACAAGTACTGGACGTCAAAGAGGACACTGATGAGTAATGCAGAGCGTCTCGGCAGAGCACATGTGTTGTCCACAAGAACTGTCAAGATACCAAGTGTTTGGTCCTGCGATAACCCAAGCGAGATTAGCATAAACTTGAGGTAAGATCATGTTCTCTAGTTGCTCGATGGAACTTTCTTGCTTCTCATCGTCGAAATCTGAATCTGTTGTATGAACTGTTGTAACACAGCTAAAAAAAAATTTTCCTGATGTTGCATGAATTGTTGTTGGTGGATTCTGCTTCACAGGTTGCTTGAACTGCTGCGACTGCTGCTGCACTCCTCATTTCTTATCAGTTTGAAGCTTGCTGCAATTCTTTATGCTGTGTCCATCCTTTTTGCAGTAGTGACAAAAGGATTGTTGACTCGTTTTGTAGGCGTTGAATAGAAACTGATACTAACTGCTGCTCCCTTTTGTTACGTGCTGTCTGCAGGTCAAGATCCTACTGCTCTGCTTGAAGAATCGAACAAATTTCTGCTTCCGAAAGATTTGGTTGAATGCGAAGAAAGGATTGACACTGCCGCTATTCAGCTCCAAGACCGGCAAGAAGAACTGTTACAAACATGTCCTTTGGGAAGTATCCGCCGCATTTTTTCAGTTGGTCACGAATTGTTCAAGCCCTGTTGATATTATCTGGAACATTCTCGTTGCCCTTCATCTGTACAGTTGTCAGTTGTGAGAGAATTTTACTGACGGAAATTGTGTCATGTGCCATATACAGCCCCTTCAAATGCTTCCACGCAGATTCAGCTGAAGTCAAGCTGGTGTGAAGCGAGCGTATACCCGAGCTGCTCTTTCAGTGACAGATTGCAGATAAGAATTGTGTAAGCGCTGAGTGAAGCATGAAGAAAACTTTAATGTTCCATCTGTGTTCCCATAATAGGATACGAATAATCACCACTGAAGAACGGCCATAATCCAGCGGATTTCGCGAGGACCTCGAACTCGAAACTCCAAGAGTAGAAGTCAGCGCCATTAAAAGGTATAGTTGTGTTGATCTGCGTATTGCTTAAAAGGTTTGGAGCCTGAAAAATAGGTCCAGTTAAAGAAATCTGCTGCTGCGGAAACTGTTGTTGCTGTTGCTATAGTTGCTGTTGATTTTGGTGCTGTTGCTGAAGCTGTTGTTGCGCTTTTTGCTGCTGTTGCAGAAATGGAACTGTTGATGTTGCGCAGGTGAAAACGCGAACAAAGAATTGGAGCTTGGAGCGGCTGCAGCTCTTGCATAACTGGAGCCATCGATACTCATACCACTAAAGGCCGCTGAAATTGATGCTGCTGCTTGTTGCTGTGATCTTGCTGTTAGTATTAAGGACGGAGTCTAGGTGAACTTAGGAGCTAGAATTACTCAAAATATAAATCCGAAATTCTGGACAGAAAAGTCGTCTTCACAAGAAACGACGTCGACGAAAAACTAGCCGTTGGAATGTCGCGAAACTTGGATATGTTGTAGCTCTTAATCTCAGCTACCGTTCCGAATTTGAATCACGTTGATTGATAAAGTATTCGCGACGTTATGGCTTTCGACGCATTAGGGGGTAAGCTGTAGGAGGAGAACTTAACTCAATCTCAAAAGGTTCAATCAAAGTTCAAGAATCTCACAAGAAAATTAGAAGGAGCAAGAGAAAGGTTGGGATAGGAAGAGAGGGATGAGAGGGAAGGTCCCAAGAGAGTCCCCAACCAAGGAAACCCCATAAGCACAAAGATTCCCTCCCTATAGGAACCTCAACTTTGACCTTTGTCCCTTCCCAACCAATCCATCCAAGTTGGCCACCCTTGCCAACCTAGCTTGGTTGTTCCCAACCTATTTGCAGCTGTTACAGTAGAGTGACAAGTTTCCCCAACCCCAAAGGTCCCAACTCCATATAAAGTCACCCCACAACTTCACTTAGTAACCGCCGCAATTGTAACGCAAGCTCATGAACTTTGAATCTTCATAGCTTTCGCGTTGTTGCTCCAATTGAAGAGATTCTTGTTGCGTCGGAAAGATCTTCTCAAGATCTATCATCACAAATACCTGCTCAAACAAAATAACACATAACACATTCCCAAACTCCAGAACACACACCACACAAATGCTTGCACATTCAAACCACACATGCAAGTTGAAAACATGGGATGGGAGGCAGACAGAATGTGATAGCATATGATGACATCACACAACAATCTCCCCCTCTGGCTGCCAACCATCATCCACCATACCACATCTCAAGCATGCATACTCAATGCACACTCATCCCAGCAAGCTTCATGCCCTTCCAATGATCCGCCTCCGCCAGACGCTTGGTGAAAATATCTGCTGCCTGCTGATGGGTCTTCACTATCTCCAGCCGCACCTCCTTATCAAGGAGTCTCCTCACCCAATGCCACTTAGGCCTTATGTGTTTTGTCAGCCCATGCAGACAAGCATTCTTGGCGAGCTTCACAGCGGACTCATTGTCACAAAACACAACTGTCGGCTCCTCCTGACCAACTCCCAACTCCTCCAACAAACGCCTTAGCCACACTACTTCCTTGGCCCCATGGTGTAAGGCCATGTACTCAGTCTCACATGAGGACAATCCCACCTCATTCTGCTTCTTGCTGCGCCAGCTCACAGCACCACCTCCTAGCAAGCACACATAACCCCCAATGCTGGTGCCATCCGCTTTCACTGAGTTGAAGCTAGCGTCAGTATAGCAACTCAAGAGCATCTCTCCACTCTTCACATCTGCAGCACCTCTCTGCAACCGCTGCCTCACTCCACTGTACTCCAATCCCACTGATGCCGTAGCACTCACATAGCGGACCAACCTCTTGGCCGCTTCCAGCTGCTCATGACTAGGGCGTGAGACCACACTAGCCAATCGTGATGTAGCAAATGCAATATCAGGCCGTGTATGATTTGCAGCATAATTCAGCGACCCAACCATCGAATGAAACAGCTTCCTGTCACTATCACCCACTACCTCCTCATCAGCACATGGCTCCACAGTGAACCCCGAAGGTAGTGGTGTTGCTGGCTTTCCCCCATCTTGCAGCCCATACTTCTCAGCCAGCCCCTCACAGTACTTCCTCTGGTGCAACCTCAGCACACCCTTCTCCACATCTCTCTCCACGTGCATCCCCAAGTAGTACTTCACCTCACCCATCTTGGAGCACTTGAACTGCATCTCCAGCATCTGCTCTGCGCTGTCCAGCAAAGCAGTGGATGCAGAAAAGAGAAGGATATCATCCACGTACACCAAGAGCATGAGGATTTCATCCTTCTCCTGCAGCAGGAACAGGCTGGGGTCACACTCACTCTTCTTGAAACCCCCAGCCAACAGCGCCTCCTCCAACTTGTGATACCATGCACGAGGCGCCTGCTTAAGGCCATAAATGGCCTTCTTCAGCCTGCAGACCCTGCCGCTCCCATCATCCAGCCCCTCTGGCTGCTTCATGTACACCTCCTCCAGAATGATCCCATTCAGAAAGGCAGTCACAATGTCCATCTGCCGTATCTTCCATCCCAGGAGTGCAGCTATCGCTAACAGCACCCTCAGTGTTGTTCCTTTCCCCACAGGAGCAAACACCTCATCATAGTCCTTCCCCTTTGTCTGCTGAAACCCCCGTGCCACAAGCCTAGACTTGTAGCGGGTCAGCTCCCCTTCAGGTCCATACTTGTGCCTGTAGATCATCTTGGAAGTGATTGCCTTCTTTCCAGGAGGCAAGTCACACAGGTCCCATGTCTCGTTCTCAATTAGGGACCCGAACTCCTCATCCTCACTCGCCTTCCACTTCTCCCCATTTGGTCCATTCAAGGCCTCCTCTCGAGTCTTGGGCTCAGGGATTGGTGCCCAGTAGCAGTGAGCGATCTCATCTTCCTCAATCTGCTCAACCACACTCCCAGCCTGCACCACATTTGGCTTGCCTCTTCCCCCATAGGTCAGCCTCACAGGAGGGCGCACATCCCTCCTAGGTCGCTCAGGCGGGTGTGGAACTCGAGGTGGAGACTCATGTTGCTGTTGCTGCTCCACTTCAGCTGCTCCCCCTTCTTCAGTCACCCCAGATATCTCCTCCTCAGACACTGCAACCTCCACCTGCCTTGAAGGCTGCTGCAACTCATCTGCCTCCACAATGAGTGGTGTAGATGGAAGCTTCTGTTGCTGCTGCTTCCATTCCTTATAGTACAGGGACTCAAGAAACTTCACATCCCTTGACACTGTCAGCTTCTGGGTGGTCAAGTCCCATAGCAGCCATCCCTTGTGATCCTTTGCAATCCCCAAGTGCACACCCCATCTTCCAGAAGCCTCCAACTTCCCCCTTTTCTCCTTAGGCACATGAAACACCACCATGCACCCAAATGCCCTCAGCATGTTCACAGCTGGAGCACTCCCATACCACTTGACATATGGGATCCACTCCTTCTCCCCAACTGTTGCCAGCACCCTATTCTTCACAAGGGCGACCTGCCTCAGTGCAGACACCCAAAACGGATCAGGCAGCCCTGCACGCCCAAGGAGAGTGCGTGCCCCCTCCTGCAGGGTCCTGTTGAACCTCTCAGCCACGCCTTTCTGCTGCGGGTTGTAGGGCACTGTCAGTTGATGCTGGATCCCCTTCCTCTTCAACTCCCCCTCAAAATCAGCTCCAATGAACTCCCCACCATTGTCACTACGGATCACCTTCACCTTGTATCCGCATTCCCTCTGAGCTCTCGGCATCCACTCCTTAAGGACAGCCGCTGCCACCTCCCCCTTGCTCTTCAAAGGGTAAACCCACACTGCCCGAGTGTGGTCATCCACAATTGTCAAGAAATAGCGGCTACCTGAGAGGGAAGGGGCTCTTGTGGGCCCCACCACATCCATGTGCACAAGTGCAAGTGGGGTCTTGGCTGGTCCTGTAGTGCTGTTGAAGGGGAACTTGGAGAACTTGGTCTCCAAGCATGTAGGGCAGCTCCCAATCTCCTTCACTCCCCCTTTCACCTCCAAGCCCTTCAGGCTCCCATCCTTCACCAACTTCTGTAGCATAGGGAAGTTCACATGACACAGCCTCTCATGCCATGTCTCCCAATCGGCCTCACCACTCCTAGATGAAGCCTTGGCCCATGCCGCGCTCGCATCCACACCAGCAAGCACCTCGCCATGTGTCTGCTGCTGCTGCACTTTCTTGACTGCTTCCAGGACCCCATCAGTTGGTGCAGTTGCATCTCCTCCTGCTGTTGCCTTTGCCGTTGCTGCCGTTGCTGTTGTTGGAGTCTTCCCATTCCATGGGATGATGGGCAGCTGCCACAGGTCCTTGATGCAGCTGGTCTCCTCTTCCAGACTCCACAGCACCTTCTTCCCAAGCTTAGCACGGCAGCTGGTTGGTCCAAAGGTCACTTCGGCCTTGCTCTTCTGCAGTCGTCGCACAGAGAGAAGGTTAGCAGACAAGCCTTCAACCAGCAGAACATTCCCAAGCCCCACAAGCTCCCCATTAGCTCCCTTAACCTTGGCATTTCCAACACCAATGACAGGGAGCAAAGCACCTGACGCTGCTGCCACATACTTGATCTTCCCAGGGGGTTTTACCTCATCAAGCAAATCTGCCCGTGGGGTCATGTGACTGGTGCAACCTGAATTAATCACCCAGTGCGTGAGAGGGTGCATCACAACCTTTCCCACAGATCCCACATCACCCTCATGCCCATGCACATCCTCAACCATGAGAAACATCCCAGGATAGGCATTACCTTGTGCACCTTCACCTTGTGCACCTGAGCCTTGCACAGCGCCACCTTGTGCACGTTCACCACTGGGCGGCTTCATGCCTGGAGGTGACCATCCCTCCGGCCTGCTGAAGCACTTGAACCAAGGATGCCCGACCTTCTTGCAGTACCAGCAGGTGCCCTCCATTCTGGTACTCCCCCTGCCACTGGAGCTCCCATGCCCCTCATTATAGTCACCTCGGCCTCTACCTCTGCCAAAGCTTCTCCCACGGCCTCGGCCTCTCCAACCCCCTCTTCCTCTGCCGCGCCCTGCAGCTCCATACCCCTCAGCAGTCTTAGTGGCAGCACCGCCTCCCACATGGCGTCTGCGGAAGTCCTCCTGCAGAATCTGCTGCCTTAGCCACTCAGGTGTCCATTGATCTTGCTGAGAGTTGAGGGTGGGGATGAGGTTGTCCCAAGAGTTGTCCAACACCGAGATGATCTTGGTGCACTGCTGCAGCTGAGATACACTGCTGCCCGCTGCTGCCATCCTTGCATAGGTGTCCTTGATCTTGTCAAGGACCGGCTTCACATCGTCCCCTGGTCGCATGGAGATGGCAGCAAGTTCCTTCTCGAGCACGATCACCATTGGGAGAGTGTTGGGCTGAATCACATCACGTAGTAGTTTCCACGCCCTTGGACCCGAATCATCCGCTTCCACAAGATCCTTGATGTGCTCGAACATCTCCTTGTTGACCGATTGAAGGATGAGGTCGAAAAGCACCGCGCTTTTCTCAATCCACCGTTCGCGTGCTTCGCTTTCCTCCGGCATCTTCTCTTCCCCAACAGTAATCTTCAGGAGCTTGTAGCGTTTGAAGGCACTCCTCATCCGTCCGCTCCATTCCTCATAGTTGGAGCCATCCAAAGCTTCAACTTTTGATGGCGGCGGCTCACTTGTCTTCTCAGCTACAGCTCCTCTTCCATTAGCATCTCCTCCTCTCTCATTCATCTCCTTCTTGAGAAATGACGAATTTCAGCTCCCCTTTGCTGTCCACACTCAGCTCCCTCGATATTTTCACAAGTGTCGGCGTCCACGAAATTTCGGTAGAGTTTCCCCTTAGCGGAAGACACATCCAACCTTTAGAACACCACTTACGCACACCCACAGGCCATGGTGGGTCTAGAAGGGTCTTCAAACTTCTGTAGACTCCTCTTAATGTCCTCAATATGGCTCTGATACCACTTGTTAGTATTAAGGACGGAGTCTAGGTGAACTTAGGAGCTAGAATTACTCAAAATATAAATCCGAAATTCTGGACAGAAAAGTCGTCTTCACAAGAAACGACGTCGACGAAAAACTAGCCGTTGGAATGTCGCGAAACTTGGATATGTTGTAGCTCTTAATCTCAGCTACCGTTCCGAATTTGAATCACGTTGATTGATAAAGTATTCGCGACGTTATGGCTTTCGACGCATTAGGGGGTAAGCTGTAGGAGGAGAACTTAACTCAATCTCAAAAGGTTCAATCAAAGTTCAAGAATCTCACAAGAAAATTAGAAGGAGCAAGAGAAAGGTTGGGATAGGAAGAGAGGGATGAGAGGGAAGGTCCCAAGAGAGTCCCCAACCAAGGAAACCCCATAAGCACAAAGATTCCCTCCCTATAGGAACCTCAACTTTGACCTTTGTCCCTTCCCAACCAATCCATCCAAGTTGGCCACCCTTGCCAACCTAGCTTGGTTGTTCCCAACCTATTTGCAGCTGTTACAGTAGAGTGACAAGTTTCCCCAACCCCAAAGGTCCCAACTCCATATAAAGTCACCCCACAACTTCACTTAGTAACCGCCGCAATTGTAACGCAAGCTCATGAACTTTGAATCTTCATAGCTTTCGCGTTGTTGCTCCAATTGAAGAGATTCTTGTTGCGTCGGAAAGATCTTCTCAAGATCTATCATCACAAATACCTGCTCAAACAAAATAACACATAACACATTCCCAAACTCCAGAACACACACCACACAAATGCTTGCACATTCAAACCACACATGCAAGTTGAAAACATGGGATGGGAGGCAGACAGAATGTGATAGCATATGATGACATCACACAACACTTGCAGGTGCAGAGGACGAAGTCCCCGGTGGATGCACAGTAGGCAAAACTGGCTGCTATTGAGGCATCCCGATTGAAGAATAAGCAGGTGGAAAATTTCCAATTGCAGAGTTACCGTACGTGCTTAGCCTGTGAAAACGATAGGATTTGTAATACCCGTAGGTCCAGTTGTTGAAGAACCAGATGTTGGAGATGATGATGGTCTAGTCATAATTGACGATAGTCTTAATTCCGAAAAACTCTCATAGCATGAAATCATTTGAAAGGTGGTGCAGAAGACTAACTATAGAATCTGCAGACACAAGTACTTGAAGTAGAAAGTAATACTGGAAGTACCTCCAGTAACAGCCAGTATTTGTCAAATTATATAAGTTATTATATAAGTGTAGGCTTGGTAGATGTCACTGAACATTTCTGTAGAGGGTACAACACCCCTCCTTGTATCCCTCTCTCTTCTATTCTGATCCTCTTTTCTCTCCTCAACTTTCCTAGCACCTAAAACTTCTCGCCATTTCCATGGCTCCTCCTAGCTCCTAGCTAAACCTGATGCCATTTTATGGCTTCCTAGCTAAGCTAGTCTTGTGACATGGTTTCAGAGCAGGACGCCTTTCCCGGGCCTGCTCTCCACACTTCCGCCACGTACTCGTCCTTACCTTGCCGCCGTCGCGGCCTTCTGTCCGTTTGCCGCCGTCGCGGCCTTCCTACTGCTTGCCGCCGTGGCACCTTTTCCAAGATGCCGTGGCGGCCTTTGTGTGCTGTTGTGCCAGAGTCGACGAGAAGCTGTGGCTCCGACGCCACGCTGTGGTGGCGTCGTCGTGGTGCCGTGGCTGTGTCGTTGGCCTGTTGCCGTCGCGCACAACCTGTGTCGCTGCTGGATTTGCAGCCCGCCCGCTCGCCAGTAAGCGCCGCGCCAGCAATGGCGTCGCGCTGAAGATCCGAAGCCCCGCCCCTTCCCCTTATCCTCTGTCCCCTCCTCTTCGCCACAGCCGCCGTCTGACTCTCGCCGGTCGTTCCCCTGGTGCGGAGTTTGGACACGCTGCCGGAAGGGCGGGGGCCGCTGCCGTCACCGCCGTCGTAAGCCAAAGCCGTCGCCGTCGCCGCTGTCGTCGCCGCAGGCCTATTGCCGCCGCACGCCCGTCGTCGCCGTCGCTGTTGCCTGCCGGGACTGCCGCCGTCGCCATCTCAAGGGCCTTGGGGTTGGCCCTGTTGGAGTCGTCGTGGCTGATGGGAATGGGGGTGCTAGGTTAGGGGGTGTGGGGGTGTGTGGGTCCTTCTACTACCAAGCCTAGGGGGTGTGTTAAACTATATAAGTTATTATATAAGTGTAGGCTTGGTAGATGTTATTGAACATTACTGTAGAGGGTACAACACCCCTCCTTGTATCCCTCTCTCTTCAATTCTGATCCTCTTTTCTCTCCTCAACTTTCCTAGCACCTAAAACCTCTCGCCATTTCCATGGCTCCTCCTAGCTCCTAGCTAAACCTGATGCCATTTTATGGCTTCCTAGCTAAGCTAGTCTTGTAACAGTATTAACAAGTTGTAACACCAGAGTCAGTGTTAAGCTTTGTGATACTTCAAGACTTTGAACATGGATCTTTACAGGAATGGTAGACTAGTAAGACAGCGGAAGTCTTAGAACTTGTAAGTGTTGACCAGAATTTAGTCAAGAACAAGTTAATAATTGAAGTTGTACAAACTACTTTTATACCTGCTAGAAGTACCTATTCGGAAGTGCACGTGTTCAAATCTATTCATGCTATGTGCTCTAACCGCTACTGAAAAGAGCGCGACTGTTCGCGTTACTGAAACCGCATGCTGACGTACCGTATTCTGTAAGAAATATAGTTGAAAATGATTGATTAGGTAAGAAGCCCAAGGCTCTATAAGTACATGGCAAGGTAAGGGAGAATGGATGAAGGGAGAATCGGAGGGAATCCCCATTGGGATCTCCGGAATCTCCAATTGGGTAATTGGAGATTGGGGGGATCACAATTGGGTGAGGTTGGGATTTGTGAGTACACCCCAACCCACTAGAACATTCCTAACCTAAACTAGGATATAAAAGTACAAATACAAAAGTGGTATATGCAACCTATTTCTAACACACCCCCATAGACTGCAAACCCGGTCAAGGAGCATATAGCCCCATGGAACGAAGAAGACGATGGTGGTCAGCCTTGCCAAGAGCCTTGGTAAAGAGGTCGGCGAGGTTGCAATCTGAGGCGATGTACCGTACCGTCAGCTGGTCACTCTGAACAAGATCTCGGATGGAGAAATGACGAAGTTCGATGTGCTTGGTGCGAGAGTGGAACACAGGATCCTTAGTGAGGTGAATGGTGCTCTGGTTGTCACACCATAGGGTGGGCGACTGCTGGGGGTAGCCTGACTCAGCGAGGAGAAAGGAGAGCCAGCGTGCCTCTTGAGCAGCCATTGTGCCTGCGTAGATCTCGGCCTCGTAGGACAACAAGGAGATTGCAGAGGACCGAGTGGAACGCCAGCTGATGACTCCGCTTCCAAGAGTGAAGCAGTACCCTTGGGAGGAGCGTCTGTCAGTCTGGTCATCGGCCCATGAGGAGTCTGTGTATCCCTCGAGCTTGACTGGAGAGGTACCACCGAGAGTGAGGATGTGAGACTTGGTGGCTTGTAGATAGCGGAGGACCCTCTTGGCTGCAGACCAATACGAGGTAATGTAGCGTCCAGGGGAGACGTACCGAGAGAGGACGCTAACCGGGTAAGCCAAGTCTGGTCGAGTGCACATCATGGCATACATGAGTGAACCGACTAGCTCAGGGTACGGGTCCTTGCAGGCGTCAGGAGAAGGAACTGGAGGGGCCGTGAGCTGATATTGTAGTGGGAGTGGAGTGGAGACAGAGTTACTGGAGTCCATGTCGAACCGCTTGAGAAGGTTGTCGATGTAGGACTCCTGGGAGAGGTTGATCGTGCAAGCCTGACGGTCACGAGTGATCTCCATCCCCAGGTAGTTCTTGAGGTCACCAAGATCCTTCATGAGAAGGGCGGAGCTGAGAGCAGACTAGATAGCTGCCATGTCGGCTGGATCTCTGGCGGCTAGAATGAAGTCGTCGACGTAGACAAGGATGTAGAAGGGCTCGGAGGAGTGACGAACGAAGAGACTGGAATCTGAGGCAGAGGGATGGAAGTCAAGTGCGAGGAGGACTTCCTTCACCTTGTTGTGCCACTCACGAGGAGCCTGCTTGAGGCCATACACTGGGCGCTTCAGCTTCCACACTGTATTGGCAGGGTAAGTGCCAGGAAACCCCGGTGGGCGTTCCATGTGAACATCCTCCTTGAGCTGGCCTTGGAGAAAGGTGGAGGAGGCGTCCATGGACTTGATCTCGAAGTTGCCGCGAGCGGCTATATCTAGAAGAGCGCGCACAGTCGGGAGCTTGGCCGTAGGCGAGAATGTTTCGAAGAAGTCGAGATACTCCTTGTGGGTAAAACCCTTCGCCACATATCGTGCCTTGAACAGTGGAGCTTCGCCTGGGAGTTGTTTGACTCGGAAGATCATTTTCCGCCGACGATGTTGACACGAGAAGGGGGAACAACATCGTCAAAGCTGTTGTTGCGAATGAATGCCTCGTTCTCCACATCCATTGCTGCCTTCCACTCCTTCTTATAAGGCCCCGAGAGAGCTTTCTCTTTTGTGCGAGGAGTCGGAATGGTCGGGTTCTTCGTGAAGTTGAGGGAAGGGCAGTCTGTAATGTCCGGGAAAATGTGAGAGAGAAATTGGCAGACTGCGTGAAGGTCAAACAGCTCCTCATGCCTGTCCTCCAGAAGTGCACGGGGGGGAATACGGATGGAGGGGACATCACCCCCGGCAGGAGGAGGCGGGGTGACCGAACACCGGATGGAGAAGGCGGCTGGTCCCCAGGCGAGAGGCGGAGCCGGTCCCTTGGAATGAGTGCGACTAGAGACCGGAGACAAAGGCGGCTGCGGTGGGACCGGAGGGACTGGGCGCCTCCGGTAGGAGACTGGTGAGCCGGGCTCGACGCGCGGGGAAGGCAGAGCAGGAGGAGGTGCCGCTGCGGAGGATACTGGGGAGGCCGGGTGAGACACGCCGGACGGAGAAGGCCCCGGAGAAGGGGCAGCGGCCGGAGGTGGGGCATGGAAGTCTGCCCAAACAAGCGTCGGGGGAGGTGGAGGAGGCTCGCCCGTGGTCGCAGAGTGGAATGGGCGTGTCTCATCGAAGACGACATCACGGCTGCGAATCAACTGTCTGGTGATTGGGTTGAGGAATAAGTAGTCTGGGGAGTCGGAGTTGTGCCCCAGGTACATGCAGGTCTGGGTTTTGGGACCAAGCTTGCCACCTTGCTTCCTGCGCGTGTGGGGGCTCAGCAACACATACGCGGTACACCCCCAGACGCGTAGAGAGCGGGCGGAAGGCGTGACCCCAAGCAAGAGAGCGGTAGGTGTGGTGTCGGGCCGGTGGGGATGCGGATAAAGATTGTAGAGGAGTGCCGCAGGGAAGAGGGCATATCCCCAGAGTGACCGTGGTGTGTTGGCGTGACTGAGGAGGCAGCGAGCGATCTGAACCAAGGTGTGGTTGCGGCTCTCTGCAATGCCGTTTTGCTGCGGGCTTTTGGGGAGCGTGAAGGTTTGCCGAATCCCTTGGGCCGCACAGAAGTTATCGAGTTTGCCATTGCGAAATTCTCCCCCGCCATCAGAATGGAGGCACTTCAGAGGAGTGCCGAACGTGACTTGAGCCTGTCGCACCCACGCCATGATGACATCAGGTGCCTCCGCCTTGGTATGCAGGAGGTGCAGAGAAACATACCGCGAGTGGTCATCGACTAGTGTAAGAAAGTACCGATGACCGCCTCGGGATGC